TCATACGCCGTGGTAGATGTTTTAAAGGCGACCGATGCGACTTTAAACACCCAAAACCATCTGAAACACGGAAGTGCAATATACCATGTCCTTTTCTGCATAAAAGAGGGTACTGTCTGAAGAAAGAGATGTGTGATTTTTCCCACGACAAATTGATACGTAACTCATCCCCCATGCCCTATCCAGGCGATTATGCTTCTCCTGATTTTTTATCACACCGATTCACCAACCCATTTCCGCCGTACCAGAATTATTATTACCGAGAACCTTTGAGAAATCTCCGCCCATTGAATCCTTTAATGGAAATTCCAACCCCTATATCGTCACAATATCCAAATCCCTATTCTCCAGCCATACAGCCCCCAATGAGTTACCCAAATCAGTACCCTTCACCCCTGATGACGAATTACACAAGACCGCCCAGGCGTTGACAGGTGATTACGATTCATCCAAGTTTGTTTGTCCCTTCCTTAACAATGGTACCCATAAGATACCCGATACCGAACTAAATAAGATACCCGTCAGAATTACTCCTTGGCTACCTCCACAAAAATAAAATCTACAGGTATGGCCCGGGCTGAAATTCCAGCCCGGGCTGAAATCATACGATATCGCGAAATGGCCAGTAAGGCAATATTTCGCTTTTTTGAACATTTAAAATGCCGATTATTCGACTATTTGACTTGTGTGAGGCTGTGGTTGCATATAAAGCATTAAAGATGAGATAAAACACGAAATAAAGCCATTTTAACATATTTTTCTTCAGCCCGGGCTGAAATTTATTTGCGATTACATGCTGCCTGGGCTATCTTTCAGCCCGGGCTGAAATTTCAGCCCGGGCAGCTCAAACCGGGCTGACCCGGCTGACTTTCAGCCCGGGCTGAAATTCTTGTCATGTAATCGCGCACAGTATTTTATACTGAGTTTATAGTAAAACCGGGCTGAAACTTCAGCCCGGCAAACCGGGCTGAAAGTCAGCCCGGGCTGAAATGGCTCCATGTAATCAGCCCCTTAAAGAAGAAAAGCTTCATTAAATAAATGTTTTATTTTCACTCTTTAGAAATTGTTTATACATATTAAGGGTTTATACATAACCGGGAGTTGTTTCCCGCAAGGTCAGCGAATATGGACAGCGGGTTCATTTTCGGAGCTGTTGTTGTTCGGTTGAAAACTTGTGGTCGAGGAATTTTCAATCGAAACCAACTTTAAGACTTTTTAAGTGTTATTAATTTGTGCGAATTATTGGCGTGTTATTTGTGTATTTACTGTTTAAGACATGCTTGAGAAGATACTGGACGGTAAAACTGATTTATTTTGCTTTCTCCGACGATGTATTGTCTCCGTTTTGTATCATGTATAATATATTTTCTCGTATTTATATGTTTATTTTTTAACTTTTTTGTTCGCTCTGCAGAGAACTTTATCGTAATTTATTATATGTAATGTCATTTGACTTTTGAGGATAATTTGTAAGGCAAAATATCTTAATTTTGTAGAGTGAAAATAAAAACCGTATCTGTTGTCTCGATGACCCGGACGAGGTCTTCTTGTACGTCATATAAGATAATTATAGAGTTCCCGGAAGGCCCGGTATATATATATATTTATTATATGGCAATCATTTGTTTTAGTGAATGGCGCAATTTGATTGGCTGCTGACGAGGCAGGATTTTCCCGTATTGCCCATGGGCAATATGCAATTTTTATTGCACGGCGAGAAAAACAATCGGAAAAACTTTGAAATTCAGTAAAATACACATACATCAAGAAGAAAATTATTAAAGTGAGCGACGAAGAGCATTCTGAAAGCGAGTTTTATTATCCAGAAGTACAAAATGAAGAATATGAAACAAATTTCTATCAGTTTCACGACGACAATGTCAACGAGTATGTGCAGCGAAACAGCCAAGAAGAAATTGACATTTTTATAAGCGAGCAAAAAAGCGTAAACACGGTGAAAAAACCTACAACCGACACGAATGCATTCGACCGGTATGTAGCTGAAATAAACAAACAATATTTCAACATTTTGTACTTACCAGCACAGGAGCTTGACTACTTGTTGTCCAAGTTTTTCAAAGATATCCGCAAGTTAAATGGCGAAGAGTACGAACCGGGAACGATTTCAAGTTTCCAAAGGAGTATTCAGCGCTTCCTTTCCGACAATAAATCCCAGTTTAACATCCTGAGAGACAAAGAATTTGAAATGTCCCGCCAAGTCCTTGCAGCGAAACGAAAAAGTTTAGTAACCAAAGCCGGCAAGGGAAACAAGCCAAATGCTACTTGCTCTCTCACGCAAGAAGAAGAGGCAAACTGTTTGAATGTGGACAGTTTGGTATGTCTGGACCAGAAGTCCTCCAGAGAACCATGTGGTGGTTTTTGGCACTCCACTTTGGCTTCTGGGCAAGAGACGAAAGCCGTAAGTTATGTTGGGGCGATATTCAACTCCAAAGAAACACTGATGGTCACGAAATGCTCATCTGGCTGTGTGAGCGAGGCACAAAAACACGGAATGGTCAAGAAAACGGTCACCAAAGATCCTTTCAGCCAGAGATTTATGCCACTGGATCAGAAAGATGCCCTGTCGAGTACTATAAAGCCTTCAAAAGCCATTGTCCAGTCGAAATGAATATAGCAGATGCGCCGTTTTTTCTTGCTGTCAGACATGGGAACCGCTATCAAAACAACAACATTTGGTATATGAAATCTCCTCTTGGCAAGAATGAAATCGGCAAGTTTCTCAGCAAAGCAGCACAAAATGCTGGTCTTCAGCGAGACAGGGGAAAATTAAGTAACCATTCTGTTAGAAAAACCAATATATCAAGGCTGTTAGATGCCAACACTCCCGAAATCTTCGTGGTCCAACTGAGTGGACACAAGAACCTGCAAAGTCTACAATCGTATAAATCTGCAAGCGAACAACACCAGCTTCAGATGTCCAGTGTACTTAGGAGAACCCAACCTTCAGCACAAAACCAACCGAGAAGAGCACTTGATCCTCTTGAAAATTTAGAGCCAACATCCCAGTCCGAACCCATTTCGGCCAACTGCCGTCTTTCGAAGCACACCGTGAAGATTCAAACAACCAAGCCGTTTTCGCTGGTGCAAGTATAAGCAGCATCTCAGAGTGTCAGTTCCAGATCTTCAATGGTCCAGTGAAGATATTCCAAGAGAAAAAGCGTCGAAGACTTGTTATTGAAAGCGATGAAGAGGACTAATTTTGTTGACACTTTGACTTATATAATTTAAACTTCGAACAGCAAGTAACTTTGTGTTTTACACACGTTTTATACGAACAGTTAAGCCAGTTAAGACAATACGTTTTTCTCATTTGTTAATATTTTCTTTCATCGCTATTTATATTTGATCTTGTGATTATATATATTTAAAACAACATATATATTTTTGAGTTGTTGTTCGCCACGCTGCCACAAGCGAGGCCTCAAGCGCAAATTGTCGCATATTCAATCGCGTGACAATGGCACATGACCGGATGTATATTAATTTTCGCAACAAAATTATGCCATATAATAAAAAACTTACTGACCTCAACCGTTCGGGCAGTACGGGAAAATATCCAACCTCGGTCTTGCTGTATTGACCTCGCTATCGCTCGATCAATACAGCAAGACCTCGGTTGGATATTTCCCCATACTGCCCTCACTTTCGGTCAGTAAGTTATTAATACCGGGTGGTGCAAAAAAAGTTAACCTGTTTGATTAAGCATAACTTCTAAATGAGCAAAGTGATCAAACCGAAATAAATTTCATTTGACAGAAGGAAGATTAACTGATATATTACAGTTGTATTTTACTTAAAAATTCACGGAGATATGAATATTCAAAATCGATAGCGTATTTCTGGACATGTCTAAAATATGCAAAAAAAGGCCGTATCAAATATTAATCAAGCTTTGCTCAGCTTAAAGACATATCAGGCTATTTCAATAAATTATCGTAAGGGTTTGTAAGGGTATAACTTAGATTTTGATATTTTACATGTAAGTTTAAACTCAACGTTCGAAATTATGCAAATGTTTGATAAATCTTTATTTAAAGACAAGGGCAAGGAGTCCGCATACATTTTCCTTGAATCGTTTTCGTATTTTGGGTAGAAAACAAAGTAGACTCTGAAGGATTAAATCTTGCTTATATTTTGAAAATAATAATACTTCATTTCATAATAAACAATTTGTCAAGTGTAATTTATTTGCTGCTAATAGTGCATGTTTCAGTCGAGCAAAGCTTGATTAATATTTGATACAGCTTTTTTGCATATTTTAGACACATCCGGCAATACGCTACCGATTTTGAACATTCATATCTCCGTGAATTTTTAAGTAAAATACAACTGTAATATATCAAAATCGGAGTTAGTCTTCCCTCTATCAAATGAAATTTATTTCGGTTTGATCTCTTTGCTCGTTATATATATATATATATTTTTGTATATATATACATATATACATATATACATATATACATATATATATATATATATATATATACATATATACTGTTACGAGCCGGTCCTTACTATTTTATTTGGCCGCGCTTTTGGTTCTATTCGCTCGCAACAAAGATTGTGAAACCAATTACTTTCAATGATATATTTATTTCTTACTTATATATTACTCAAATCTCAATAATTAGCGTCTCTATAACTTTTACTTATATAATATAATTCTTAATAATAATGTACTGTTCAAACTTATCTCTTTTCACGACTGAGTACAACTCTTCAATTCCTGACAATTCTTTATCTTTAATATATCTTCGCCTTCGTATAATCCTTTTAAATCTTTCTTTATTAACTTGTAATTTCTATATATCTTCACGGCGATGTTATTCAGGCTTTCGCCTTATGAATAATGCATGAATTGTCTAGTTGTGCTCAGGCTTTTATACGCTCTGCTATAGGGGAAGAAACTACAAAACTACGACTCATTTCCCCTACGCAATACAGTTTGTTGAAGCAAGTCTCAGTAACCACAAATCGGCCAACGTCAAACTGAGTCATGTCCGCTACGTTAGTTGTGGGACATCTTAATCTTTAAAACTATTTGCTTACTCATGCATATGTAAGCTATTCGGTTAATAATATGAATATAAAGTATAAGCTATATAGTATAATATAATAGTATGTAAAATTACATGATATAA